AGAAGACCAATAATCAAGAGTTGTTCGTTCTGAGCTCGTGTCGTCTGTCCTGACTGTCACAAATTTGTTCATCTCCAAGACCTTTACAGAAATGGATGAACAGGATTGTATGAAGACGTTTGCTGACTATGGTTACGGCACTCATATAGCCTTAATTACACATGCAAACAATTTCGACTAGGTGTGCGCCCGCTATAGATCTGTCTGTATTTATGCAATTCTTCAGTGCCTGCATGTCTGCAGTGGTGCATGCATAATGTGTATACACCATTGCATATATGCATCTATTATTGCATCCATTTAGTCTATCTATAGGCCTTTTTATTAACGCCAGAGTGTCATCTTGCATAGGGCCCCTTGAGACTGTATCTAGCCTCCAGGTTTGCGAGCGGGGTGTGCCGATTCAGGACAATATCTTTACAGCAATGATCCGGTCCACCGACAATTGGGCTGGCAATTGCGCTCATCTCCGGGACCTCTCATCTGCTCGCCGGCTCATCTGTTCTTTCACGTTAATGCTTATTATACTACTGTTATTTTGACTTTGAACAGGGACGCATCAGATCACTATGGCTACTGAGGGAGCTCGGCCTGTGCTGAAACTGGCTGTTGAGTAGTTGGTGGGCCGAGACAAGCGAGCCGTTTCTGCCTAAAACACAATACAATTCTGTCAATCGATTTGTATGGTGGTAGGACCTACTTTCTGGCCCAATGGAAACAGCCAAGACCATGATGATAAAACTGCTGTCCAACCCATGTGAAATTGGTGTATGTGTATTTCATTACAAGTCTGCATTTGCTCTTGTGTGTAGACAAAAGCATTAAACACTCATTAACAACTGAGGGGCATAGTTTAACTAAGGCTGGAAACAAGCCTATCCTGCATTTGGGAATAATTTAATAATTGGACTAATAATGTTCTCTTTGGTACACAACGAGGCGGCACCCAGACGACAGAAGGCTGCCAGCTTAGGAGGTTGAGGCGTGGAGGACAGGATCTTAACGGGCCAGCTCAAATTCCTGATAACCCAAAGCAAGTGAGTACGATCTAGAGCTGTTTACATTACTTAGAGTAATAATGCCAATATATGGTTTTTCTGATACTCATATAAGATGAGCTACGGAGAACGATTTTTAGGCAAGGTCACAAAAAGGCAGAAGAGATTCTTAGGTCGGACTGAGTGGACCTTAAACGAGGGTGATTTTTTATTCGGATGATGGGAAATGGCGATTATTCCATGTCTAAATGTTTTGTGTAGTGTTAGGGGGACTTTCATTACTTATGAAAGTGAATGAAGAAGAGATTCGTTGGTCGATCCCACCAGATGAGGACGGATAAATCTCGTTGTACTGCAGCCGTTTGGCTTTGATACGAAATTCATGTTGACGAAGTCCACGAGACTTCCGCCCTCGTTTCGGGTGAAAACGTGCTGAGCTTTCATCCATCATATGATGGACATCATCGAAGCTGGGTGTCATTCTTGTAAAAGTCTCACATTAAAACTAGAGCAAGAACACTATATGGCTATATCTTACTTCTTATGTACCATATTTTCCGGCGTATAAGACGACTTTTCACACCATAAATTTCTGCTCCCAAGGGGGGGTCGTCTTATATGCCGAGTGTAGTTTAAGGATCGCTAATTATACTATGGTTCCAAACTCCTGTTGTGCCCCTTGCCTCCTACTGCGCACACACAGCTTTCCGGTGCAGTGTAACAGCGGGCGGAGAGAGATCGGTGCCCACCCCTGCATGTATCGCAAGATGTCATTGATGAATTTATGATATCAGATGTCGAACAGGAGGATTTTGAAGGTCTTTAAATGGGAAACGGTCACGCTAGCAAAAAATAACATAGAGGCTGTCTGACCTTGTTTTCGCAACATGGTCATATTAGTAGAAAGACTTATTGGAACACACTAAGTCCGGGGTCCATTGTCTGCATGATCATTTCCAAAGTTGAACCGG